CAAACATCATATCGCCACCTTGTTGATACGAAAATTCCATCATCAAGTAAAACATCAAGGAAGGTTGATCACGAATGGAGCAATCAGAACTGGTGGTTATTGGATAACCAGATCGAAGAGACTTGTGTCTTCGATTATTCGCAAGTGTGTAATTTTACCGAAAATTGCGAGGCAAGCTGCAATTTCAGAAAATGGCAGATCTTCTTGCCGACCGCTTGGAACCTGGACCACCTTTCACTTATGTAGGTGACTGTTTCAGGCCGTGGGAGATAGTTACTCGAAAGACGCATGGCGATGCTGCTAATTCGAAGGGGTGGGCCGCTCTCTTTACCTGTCTCACCACCCGGGGAATTCATATTGAAGTTCTTGAAGAGATGAGTGGGTCTTCATTCATTAATGATTTTAAGAGATTTACCTCTATACGTGGACAAGTGAAGCAAATTAGATCAGATTGCGGAACTAATTTTGTAGGAGCAACAAATGAACTAAAAATAGATACAATTCGTGTGGAAGATGATAGGACTAAGGACTGTTTGTACAAGTTCGGAGTTACATAAGTTTTCAATGCACCGCATTCTTCCCATATATGGCGGTATATGGGAGAGAATGATTGGCGTCACGAGACGAGTCCTTGATTCAATTCTTCTAGAGAATGTTAAGGGTGGACTTACACATGAAGTTCTAATAACTCTTATGGCAGAAGTGACAGCCATCGTCAATTCTAGATCATTGGTTAAAGTTTCAACTGACCCGGAGGACCCCATTCCTCTTACTCCAGCAATGCTTTTGACTCCGAAGCCTAATTTGATATCGAGTGAAAACACATTTGATATGACCAATATGTATAGGGCTCAGTGGAAAAGAGTACAGGTACTGGCTGATATGTTTTGGAGGAAATGGAGAGTTGAATATCTCCAGACGTCGCAAATGGCAAACAATAAACGTGACATTTCAGTTGGAGATTTAGTTATATTGAAAGAAAGTTCTGTTCATAGATGTAGTTGGCAAGTCGGCATCATAACAGACAATTTTCCAAGCCAAGACAGAATAGTCCGCAAAGTAGCGTTGCGAATCGTACGTAAAGATGGTGAAGGAGTCTCATACATCCGTCCTATCACCGAATTAGTTGTATTAATGGAAACCGATTGATAGTGATATATATGATATCAGGCGGGGAGTGTAATATCACCGGCGCTCCATAGGTACTTTTTTGGAATTATCGGCCTTTCTTTTGGAATCCGTTCCATGTCAGACATTAACTGAAATCGAAATCTTGAGCCAACCACGGCGAAGGTTGAACTCTTTGTATATATCTGAACATTTTTTTTATTCGAGCGCCACTGATGAGTCTTTTGTAGACGAAACGCGCGTCAGGCGCAAATACAAAATTTCAATCCTGCTATCTATGATGAGTTTATTTACTTTAGTGTTATATATCAGCATAGCGGACGTGACCCTGTTTGTTTACCTATTTTTTATGTTTTCGAGGCGTATCTTCAAAGAATATGTGCGTTGACCCACAACACAAAGAACATTTATTAGAATGCTTACAAACAGTTGTTTTTCATTATAACATACACTAAGACATTCAACTAATTCATTGTTAAACGTTAATTAGTCATTTTAAAGGTTTATTGTAATTTCTATAGATATCCTTGCTCGTGAAAATTTTTAAGTATGGAAAGCCATTTGTGTCATAAAATTGTTTAGCGTACGTATTTTTCAGAATTGTAACCGTGATTCTTTTTGCATTTTCAGTTTTTTACCATCATCCTGTAGATGTATTAAAGTTTGAATAATCTACTTGGTTATCTGTTACGCAAAAGCTATGCACGAGGCATAACAGTTTTTATACCCTCCCCCCCCTTTAAAAAAGTGGGGGTATACTGTTTTACCTCTGTCTGTCCGTCCATCCATCCGTCCGTCAGTCTGTCAGTCCGTCAGTCCGTCCATCCGTCCCATGAAAATTTTTCGTCACATCTTTCTCAGGAACTACAATACAAGGATTTCTGAAATTTGGTTTCAGGGTTTATATAAGTCAGCTTTACCGTGTGATGCGTTTTCAGATTGATCACTCAACACATTCCTGTTTACGAACACTTACATCATTTTACACAACACATCCAAGTAGAAAATTTTCGTCACATTTTTTTCAGGAACTACATTACAAGGATTTCTGAAATTTGGTTTCAGTTTTTATATTAGTCAGCTATACCGTGTTTACAGATTCATCACTCAACAACTTCCTGTTTACCGTCAAATATTTGGGCTGTGGGTATCATCAGTGAGCAGTAGCTCGCAGTTTCATTTGTTAGAATTGTGTCACATTTTGTCATGACCTTTTATAGATATAAAATAATCCCAAATCTCTGTTTCATAATCGACAACATTTGATAAAGGAATAATAAATTAGAATAATATTGTATTTATTAACATGTATAGGTATTGTAACATTATATTGAAAAGTCAATACAATCATCATATTTGACTTCTGAGATCACACAAGACTGTTAAAATGTGCTTTAAGTAAAAAGATCTATCAACTTTCAAAAATCTATTCACCGCTCCATGTTATCTCTCCATCTTTTGAAAGCATTATAAAAATCAAAATCATCTGAAGTAGGCCGATCGAACCACATCATCAAATGATGAAACAGCGAGTTTTAGGCTTAGTCTGTTTTATGTTTGAAGTAAAAGGATCTATTAACACGAAACACTATTATGCTTACATGAATTATCATATAAAAATAGTACAAATTCACCGCTCCACCTTATCCCTCCATCTTTTGAAAGTATTATAAAAATCTAAATCATCTGAAGTAGGCCCATCGAACCACTTCATCATAATTATGATGAAACAGCGAGTCAAGGCTTAGAGTGTTTTATATTTAACATTATCTCGCCTACAAAACCTTCTTTCACATTCAACAAACGAGACAGGTCTATTGTGACTCTTATATTTATAGAACTTTCGTACTGTTTTGTTGATGATTCCAAAGTTGTATGCTTATGTTTTTCTTTTTCGTCTGAATTGTTTCATATTTTGTCATGTCTTTTATAGCTGACTATACGGTATGAGATGTGCTCATTCCTGAAGGCCATACGGTGACCAATATTTGTTTAAATCTTCGGCAATAACACTCTGTTTGATAGTTGTCTCCCTGGCAAGCATACCACATCATCTTATTTTATAAACGTGCAGTAGAAATCTATATAAGATATAAACGGACGCCAAACGCACATTGTACACTGAAGATACACACAAGATATACTAAATATACGGTACACTAAAACACACATACGGTACACTCAACTCACATACCCGCTTCATGTTAGCAACACACATTACGTCCAATACTGAATGTTCCGGCATGTTTAACGATTCCTGGAATGTATGATTCAAAGCAAAGAATACAACAAGACCAGCAATAAAGCTGATTGACTTAAGTTTAAAAATAAGGAAATGTGATAGTATTACCAATGAGACAACTATCCACCCAGAGTTCAAATGAAGTGGATGTAAGCATTGGTGGCATTCGGCTGTTTTTTTTCTCTTTGGTCGGGTTGTTGTCTCTTTGACACATTCCACATTTCCATTTTCAATTTTAATCATAGACAACCTTATGGCCTTCAACAATGATTTAAAAACCCATGCCATATGGTCGGCTATAAAAGTTAACGATGCCGACTTAAAAACATTGGGGATGATATTTTGCTGTCATCATGTCATAATATAGCTCATTGGTACCCGTAACGAGTAACATGTACATCCAAAAATTGAAATCTATCGATACTGTAGTTTTTTTAATCGAAATATCACAAAAATGTATGGATAACCAAATAAAACTAAAACGAAGTTTGTGTAGTACTAGAAACAATAGTTGTCTGGAATAAACACACCTAGTGCCTGTTTGTATTTCAAATCATCAAATGCAATAAAAATATAATCAAATTTTGACAATTTTGCCAATTTGAATGCAGATGTTTTTTGCATCTTACAGACAAAACGGTGTTTAATAAAAAGTCGCAGACGACTACTCAGTTTAGAAGCAGGATTGGTGCTGCACAATGTGGGAAAAAAGGGAAATATAAACCAACAGTTGTGAAATTTTAATGACCATGATTGAAAAAAAAATTTCAAAGTTGGTATTTAAAAAAATACTTATATCATATACGATTGACACCGTTCCTTATATTTTCAAGGTGTTTCTTGACTATAGCGAGAATTTTTTTCAGCTGACAATCGTCATTCATTTCGGAAACAACTGTGCTATTCAGATTGCCGATGTTTGTCATTATTCTTAATAGTCAAAATTTATATATACAGAAGATTCTCAAGAAATATGAAAAGATGCTGGTATTTTCCTACACCTTATCTTTACGCTTTAATGAGGATGTCTTTTTAAAAAAATTAAAGTTTAATTATTATGTATACAGAATCTATCTTTAAGAACGTGAAATAACGGTTTCCACAGATACAGTGTAGTCAGCCTTATATCTTGACTTAAATCTACGAAATTACTAAGAGGATTGGTTAAAAAATAAAGTTCAATTTTCCCATTGTCAAGTTTCATTTTGTGTGTAGCAACTCACCAGATAGCGCTTGCATTATGAGTATGTCCCGCCCAGATGCTGCAATAACACATAGATTGCGTTTCTGCAAAACGGCTTACTGCTACCTAAAATCTATTCCATCAAGGATTCAAGATAGTAAATGGTGGTTTAACCCTGGTTTTATAGCTAGCTACCCCCCCCCCCCCCCTCCCCTTGAATGACAGTTGTTTATAGTTCCTTTATATTGGTAAAATTGGGTGAGCAACAAAAACAGACATTATAGGTTAATGTGACGATGACTGGGATTCAGAAGCAAAAATTGTGTAAACAACTGACTAAAAAAATCAAAACAGAAATGCAAATAAATCTAACAAAGACACTAACAAAAATTATTTGTAGTTGATAGTAAATTTGACAAGGACACAATCAATAAAGTTTTTGTGGTTGATAGTTTATTGACAAAGACGCCGATAAAAAATGTAGTTAGTAGAACATTCCTTATATTATATTATTCCTGTCTTAATTACCTTTTAAATAAGAATACTTTTTGCAAAATAATGCATTAGTGAACTGTTTGTACAACCGTTTTATCGAAAAGTAGACATACATTTAATTCCGAATGATTTTTTGATAAAATTTGAATAATTTTACTGCATGTCCATGTATTCGTGTATTTCTTCATATTCCTGGTCCTCTTCTTCTTTTTCCACGGATTCAGATCTATTCAAATTATAGTCTTGGTTTGCGCTCTCAATTTCAGATATTTCAATATAGTTTGGTTCGGCAATGGTGTACACATTTTCTTGATTATCATTTCTAGGTGCTGCATAATAGCTATAAAATTAGAATGTTCGATTCTTTGACACAACCATCAGAAATTATCTATGACATTTCAAAAATGTTTAAATTGTTAATGGATCACAATTCGCTTTTTTTCAATGGCCATTACAAACTGACACGGGTGCACAGTACTGTGGTAACAATGTAAACATGAGATATCCAGATAATGGATAATTTTAATTATTTTCGACAGAAGACTTGAATGCAAACGAAAGAAAACTCTGATATAGACAAAAAATTAAATTAGAAATGGAAAAGACGATCAGATATGAGGAAAAGTCGTAAAACCATCTATAGGAACCTGTTGTTCAGTGGTTGTCGTTTGTTGATGTGGTTCAAAAGTGTTTCTCGTTTTTCGTTTTTTATATAGATTAGACCGTTGGTTTTCTGTTTGAATGGTTTTACACTAGTCATTTTAGGGTCTTTTATAGCTTGCTGTTCGGTATGCCTTTTACCCTTCAATTCGAGAGTGTTGACCTTTATGGAATGAACGGAGATCTTGAATTTCCGAATGAACAAAATCTCCTAATTTTCAAACATGTTCAAGATTTTATTAAAAGTTCTAACAGATTTCTAGTACCTTCATAAAATATTATTGCTACCGGCACGGATGATCATCACCATCAAACCTAAGTCAACATCACAGAAAATATAATTTGCTTCTTTTTCTTTTCCTCCTTTTCCATTCTTCTTGTTCTTTTTTTCTTTTTATTTATAGTTCGTATAATATTTAATGAATTTGTTAGCTTTACATGCATGCTCATAATGTTATTATTGTATATATACTTGTATTGTAATATGGAGAAGACTTCATAAGTATGATTTACTTGTGTCTCATCCATTTTGCTGATATTTAGCAAATAAAATATGTTTAAACTATGGAATGCACAGATGAAGACCGATATGTTCCAATTGTCATGACTACAATCCTGCCCCCTTAGATCACACATAGTTTTTGGTTTGAACTACAACAACTATCAAACTATATAAAGCAAACAATTAACCCATTGTAGTAATTTACGTCATATCTTGCAAGTTATTATATATAGACACTTAAACAACACGAACACACACAATTGCATTTTAGTCTTAAACGGTCATTTTGAAATGTACAACATTTGAAAGTCGGATAGTCGGAAAAACTAATTATTAGGTCAAATTCAGCATTTCAGTCAATTTTTAGACTGATCGACCTCAGTAAATTCGGTAGTTTTCAGCCAAATCACTGTTACTGTGTACATGTAAATATTACGTACTGAACCCTGAATGTAGATTGAACAGATCTTTATTTACTGTGAGTGAATTGTCTGAACTGAAGAGGAAAAGTCCGAAAATTAACTGAAAAACTGAAAATATTCATAGATTTTATGTTCAGTCTTTCAAGAAAATTACAATCTGGATCCCATTTTGTTTCTGCTTATAATGTATAAGATAATGCATTAGAAGTAGTGGATTCGTAAACGATATTCAACTAGCGACGTTGTTTATCGTTAACGAATCAACTACTTCTGATAAATTCTCTCCATTTCTAGTAAAAGGACTGTCTGTTTTATGTTTTGACAATAAATCAACGGAATTCATAATAATAAAATTGAGAATGGAAATGGGGAATATGTCAAAGAGACAACAACCCGACCAAAGAGCAGACAACAGCCGAAGGCCACTAATGGGTCTTCAATGCAGCAAGAAAACCCCACACCCGGAGGTGGTCCTCAGCTGGCCCCTAACTAAAATTGTGTGCTATTTCAGTGAAAATGGACGTCACACTAAAAGATGATTTCATATTTTGTCTTTTTTATTCTATAATTGCTGGAAATGATTATATTCACACGGTTCACATCTATATTTAGACATTCGAGAAATTAACATGAAATATATATAAAAGAGGGGCGAAAGATACCAGAGGGATATTCAAACTCATAAATCGAAAATAAACTGACAACGCCATGGCTAAAAAAGAAAAAGACAAACAGTCAAACAATAGTACACAAAACACAACATAGAAAACTAAAGACTAAGCAACAAGAACCCCTCCAAAAAAACTGGGGGTGATGTCAGGTGCTCCGGAAGGGTAAGCAGATCCTGCTCCACATGTCGCACCCGTCGTGTTGCTCATGTCAGTATAAACCCGGTAACAAGTCTAATTCGGTAGGTCACATTCGTGGAAAGGGGGCGGGATTGTAGTTACGACATTAGGAACATATCCGCTATCATCTGTGAAACGGATATTCCATAACGGTCAACCAACTCGTAATGGCGTCCGTAAAATTTACAAAGGGATGATTTCAACTTCACCATTTGGAACTCTTGGTTTAATAGCTTCCTTGTGAGCAGCAACCCTCTATCAAGGAAAGCATTATTGGAAATACAAGCCCCGGAATATCGTATCAATTGGGAAATATATACTTCTTTTGCAGGCGCTGCTGCAATGTTGCTACATAGAAATAGAAAGTTCAGCTGAAATCTTTTGTGTCGTAAAGTTTTGTTTTCAACCGACCCTCATTGTCAATTTCTAGATTTTAGTAAAGATATGAGACAGACTTAAATGTTTCTGTTGTATCCTTTAGCTCGAGTTCGATGGGATACATGCGTTCACCATAGTCACAAAATTTTGAATTATTTTGTGAGAGAACATCATCTGTATAGCGGAAAGTAAAGTTAAAGGATACTGCTAACTTCTTTTCTTTTTTCCTAAAAAGTTCACGTATGAAGTCAGCCTCATAAAAATAAAGGAACAAGTCGGCAAGAAGAGGGACACAGTTGGTTCCCAGGGAATGCCGATAGTTTGTTGAAAAACACGTCCTCCAAACATAACAAATATGTTGTCAATAAAGAAATCAAGCATCTTGATAATTTCAGTTTCAGAGAATGTTTTGTTTGAATCGGAGTGATTTTTTACAAAGTAGGATTTATCCCTCCCTAAGACAAAATACTTGTATCTACGTTAGCTATTCTTTTTTTATGAAACAACGCAATACCAACTCTTTCAATTTGTCTTTTAGTTTGAAATGTGGAATACTTGTGTAAAAAGTGTGGAAAAGTCATATGTTTTAAGATTATTGCAAGATTAAAGAGTCTTAGATTGTATGTACTCTAAAAGATCTTTAGAATTTTTTAGTATCCACATCTGATCCACACCACCTCTAGAATAGGCAGTTTCACAATGACTTTGAAGCCCGACTTTGATTGCTGATAAAATTGATGTTCATAATTTAGAAACAGGTTTCGTGGAGCACTTGGAAGACCCAGCAATATACCGTTGTTTCAAAAGACACTTATGTAGTTCAGGTATCCAATACAGTGATGGAAGATCCAGTTCTTCATCTTTGGTTGAAATTCCAAGGCAACATAGAACAGACCTATGATTATTCAGGATTTACTCTTTAGTAAGTGTCGTGGGGGTATATGTTGAGTTTCCAAGTAAATTGTCAATAACTAATTCATTTATCAAGCAGTTTATGTTATGTGATTTATACACAAAAACGATGTTGTTTGGGGCTTTATCTGCGGGGACAACAACATCCTTGTCATAGCGGTAGGACAAGTGTTTTGCAACATTTGGGTCTTTAAATATTGAAGTAGCGTGGGTATTGATAGACCCATTCATTTCCTTAATTCTGAATTTCATATTGGTAAATTAATATTTCATTTAATGTTTAATCATTACAAATTATTCAAATTGAATAGCTTTTAGTATTCATAATTTATTTAATAGCACTGATTTTGTTTGTGTTTTTTACTGTCAAAGAAGTAGTTTTACGGTTGTGGCTTTGATGTCACACTTTATTCAAATTAGAGTTTATTCAATGTTGACCGGTTGTATATTTGGACGATTTATAATCAAACAAATAAAAATTGAATGATAGCATGAGAAAATTATAGACCATAAGTAAGCTTTTGCTACAATGAGAAAGAAAATTGAAAGTCCTTGTTCGTTAAAAGTGACAAGTGTAATGGGCATATGGATGTTTATTTTATCAAGGAATTGTACTGATATATTCTATTCCTTGATTTTATAGTGGATACAACTATTGTGTAATAGCCACAATCGTACAAAGGTTCAGTTTATAATAACGATGTTGAATATCGACCAATGATCAAACCTGACATCCAAGATAAAATCTTTTTTTATGATTTAAAAGAAAATATGTTTCTCTTGTGTCGGTATCATTCTACATTTTGATATTGCTTTATAATTATACCCAAGAGCGTTACAATTTCGAACATATTATTCCTTAACGAGATAACACCCAAAATGAAAAAATAAAAAAATTGAAAAGAACATGAACAAACCAAGACATACACGTAATTTATATTACATAGATTACAGAAGCTAATTATCAATGAGACAGAAATCCTGTGTTTATTGACATGTATGGACAATTAAGCCCTTTAAGAGTATACGTAAATATTGATTTATGTCAGCACTCGTGGTATAGTGGTATCATGTTTAGACTGAAGACTGTAATGATTGACGATGAAAATACGCACGACTTTGAACCCTTCATATGAAGCTCGTATTTGAGAGGATAAAAGATCGCACAATGCAGAGAAAGATCATTTAAAAAGTTCACACTGCCTTAAATGTTTTTTTCGAAAAGAAACCCCTTTCATTTGTATCTAAAACACTGACATTGTTCTAGAATTATGGTTTTCTGTGTCTTACAAATTAAAAGTATGATGAAAGTGAGCATCATGGATTTCAAGAAATAAGAATCGAGAATGGGAACTTATTTAGCTATACCTTATATATATGCATACTTACATTGTTCCTATCAAATGATTTTTTCTGATGCCTGGAAAGAATTAAAGCATACTTATCAATATTTTTAAAATCCTCCGCTTCCTCCTCCTGCTCATCATCATCATCATCATCCTTATCTAATTCAAGTGTTGTCATCCTGCTTACCTTTTCGGAGCACCTGAGATCACCGACAGTTTTTAGTGGGGTTCGTGTTGCTCGGTTTTTAGTTTTTCTATGTTGTGTTTTGTGTACTATTGCTTGTCTGTTAGTCTTTTTCTTTTTTAGCCATGACGTTGTCAGATTATTTTCGACTTGTAAGTTTGAATGTCCCTCTGGTATCATTCGCCTCTCTTTTTTCAATTAACACAGTACCAAATCACTAGCCTATTATGATAGATACATAATAAACAAAACTATTTACATTCTATTGGTTTTGTTATAAGATTATTTCCTTAACAGTATTGAATCGGTATATATGAAGGATCTATATCTTTTAGGTATGAATAACGTCTTCGTTGACTCACATGTTCTTCCTCTAAAAAACAATAGGGAAATGAGGACTGTTGAGAAAAACACAGCAATTATAATGGAAATCCATATCCCAATATGTATGCCTCCTACATTCAACTTCTTATCTTTGCTGACATCTTGTCCTGAAATTAAAGTAACAATAAATTTGATATATATTGGTAAGTATATAAGTGAATTAAAAACATCAATGGAAGGATTCCTTGTCTTTGATATTCAAATCATTTTACTGAATCTCAAATAATGAAAAAAAAAAAGATAGGATTTGAAAATAAAATTCCTATTTGTAGATCAACAAACACACCGAAATTAGTATATATTGTAAAATTCAGTTGGTTTTTATTCTTTTGTAGCACTTTTTGAGTACATTTGGAATTAAAATGTATGAGAGCTATCACAATAGCAACTTCATAATCGATCCAATTACTAGAATGTAACTAGCTGTATAAATTCCGAAAAATTGTACGAATAACGGTTAGTAGAAATACTTAAGTACTTTAAGTAATTCAAATTTTACAAAATACATTTTGAAAAAAATACCATACCAATCGTATTGCATGTCAACACAACAGTACTGGTGTAACACTTGAGGACGAAACTTCCACCAACAGAGGCATCGAATTTTATAACCAGTAAATTAACAGAAATTCATGTGTGATAAAACTTCTGTAAAATTATTGTTGTCATTTTGGTACGGTCAATGTGTCCATTAAGGAAGCGTAGATGGAAAACTGCACACAATCGACATTGTTCAAATTTTATTTTATTTGACCTTAAGATATGCGTAAACCATAACTCTGTAATAGACATCTTTTTTTTTTATGACCACGAGTACTTACTCTTGGTCCGTTGTTTGTTTGTTTGTTTTTTCTTTTTTTCGTTTTAATCTAATTTCCAAGGTAAATTCAAATGAGTTTACATTGTCATCTCTCTGTTTTATTTGAATATTAAAAAATAATTATTCTTCCCCAAAAAATGTGTACATGTACAGAGAAGTAAAATTTCGAATTGCAAACAGTGTATAATCTCTCTTGAATTAGTTTGATCAGGCAAACAGCTAAGGCTAAGACCTATTGGAATACGCAAGGTCCTCACTTTTCAGTCTACATCAGGCAAAACATGATTGAAAAAAGTTCTGTATGAAATGTCTTACTTCTTTCAAAACGTAAATTCTACTTATTGTATACATTTTTCATGAGGAGAACATATGTTTCTTGATCAACATGTATAAGATATGTCCACACTTGATTTAAGCGGTTTGCTTGTCGAGTTATATTTTTGGATAATTAAGATCAGTGTATTGTTTTCAATTATCATGATACATCGTTATATTGCCGGTCACCAGAGTCAGGATTTCCGAAATTTAATCGTCATAACTACATTTCGAAACTTAATCGTCATAACTTCAACACGGCTATATCATACATCATTCGATTCAACAATGTGTGTACCTTTAAAATTAATGTGATCAACAAAAGAAAAATATCAACCATTGAATATTTCATTTCAATTTAATTCCACTTTAGCAGTAAAATAATTGTAACTTGCATATTGGTTTTCATTTTTTAATATTTCATTCAAAAATTTGAATGCTATCATTAAATAGTTTTACAAAAAGGGGGAGAAGATTGGATTTAAAAAAGATGTACTTTTCAAATAATAAGTATATCGGCCAACAATCTATACTTAATAGAAAAATATAAAAAAATAAGATAGTTTTTGGTTTCATAACGAGTACGAATTGGATATCGCTTGATATCTACTCGAGTTTTTTAATTCCAAAATAATAATGAACGAGCCTTTGGCGAGCTTATTATTACTATTTAAATTAAAGAAAGGGAGTTTATTTCAACCGATGTCCAATTATCATGAGTTGTTAAACCTATTTCTTTTATGGTCAACACTCTCATTGTGTTAAATTAAAAATTCCGCGAATCGTTGATCTACAGTCTTTTGCACATACCAGTATGACGTCATATGTCCTATTGCGGCGTCACCCTTTAAAATCAGACATTTTAAAACATGTTGAATGCTACAGAGTGTAATAAACATTGACAAAAAAAAAAGATTTTCAGGTAAAATTCTGAGTGTTTTGTATATTATTGAAGCAATCACATATGTCCGTTGCCATGGACGATATGTACATCATCTTAACCTTTGAAAATCATAAATGACTTGACGAATAGCCAATGTAAATGTCGTATTATCGTCTCATGATGCTGTATAAGCCAATCAAAATAACGCAGTCATCGTATCACTTTTGTCGAATCACACTCCGTGTAGTGTGATACGAGAAATATCTTTTCATGTAAGAAATAAATAACAAGTCAACCATAAGAGAAATTTCTATAATACACCAATGAAGGCAGAATATTTCAGTTTTGTAAAATTAAGGATTATTTTTTGGTACATATTTGGGGTTAAAGTCACATTAACGACTTCTGGCATGTAAAGAAAATCATGAATAAGAACATAAATCAGTACAAAATTGACAAACACTTTAAAAACATTTTGGATGACTAGAACCATTTTTTTCCTGTTTAAAATTGTAATAGATTCCGTTGTTTGATCAAACCTAAGTGACACAACGTAAGAAATGTAATGTAGACCTCAAATGCATTCTGTAAGGTATGTGTGGGAACGTTATTACAATATTTTGACCATTGGTTTGAACATAAGTTCTTACATACAATGCTAAATTAAATATGAGGATCACCAGCGGTCTAAAATTTTCCGATAAAAAAAGGCGACACAATGTTGAAATCACAAAGCCTGATAATATTGCAATTTTGAAGGTAGAGCTTTAGACATTTGGCTTGTTGTACAATGGTATTGAATTCTTGTCAACTTTTTGTGAATCGTGCTTTTGTCGAGCTTCATATGACATTTCAAATCCATTTCCTCATGCCAGTATACACCATGACTATATCATTTGACAATGTTACTCAAATTGGGGGATATAAAACAACTATAACAAAGTTTGATCGAAAACATGCATCCTATACTCTGTACCATTTTTTTTAAATTTTCATCAGCAACACACATGTTCCAAATGTAGAGCCGAAACGCTAACCAATCTGGTGTTTCGAGATTACCCTCGGTTTAACTAAGTTTCCTTAAGTGTTTTGTAAAATTTTGTCTTTTCGTCGTTTTTCGATTTTTTTCTCATATCATTGTCAGTTTGTCTTGGACTAATGAGTTTAAAATCCATATGATAGCACCCGCCTCTTTTCTAGTAGTGTTTGTGTCACGACCTCGCCAAGGAAGTTGGTATAATGTCAACATGTAAGCGCGTAAGATGTTAATAGAAATATTAATCGTCATACAATGCAGCAGAGAATATTTTACTTTTGAGAATTGGAAATTTGAAATCATTATGTTACGTTTGTCATAGATTTAAGTTTGAAGTCGTCAATATCAAAAAAAGGCCAAGATACAAAACATGCTGTTTAGTGTCGATAGTATCCTAAATCACAGGCTCCTTAATATATGAAATATAAGCACAGACTAAAATGTAGGTTATTGAGTTACACGACAGCTTCTATTTATCAGAAATTTAATTTATAGAACACGGCATGATGGTTTTGTTTCCAGTCTGATTCTATATGAATTTTGCTTCATATTTGAACATATTCACAAGTCAGTCAGTAGGGTTGCATAACTAGTATTGTTAACTCAAATGTCAACAATAATAATCAATTTCAACTTTACATCAATCAATTGTGTCCAAATACAGCGATTTACTGTAGCGCGGATAATGATTTACTGATTGTTTGGTGTTTAACGGCACTTCAGCACTTTTCGTAGCTATTTCGTGGAAGTCAGGTTTTATTGGTGGAGGAAGCTAGAGAGAACCACCCACCTTTGGAAGGCAAACTGACAATCCTAGTAGAGCACACTTGCCACGTGCGTGGTTCGAACTTACAACCTAATTGTTTACAGGCTAGTGATACAGTAGTTGGACTACTTACACAACTCGATCATCGAGGCCCAAACACGGTAAATGAAACACACCGTCGTCATGACTACCACTACCGGTACATATTTTAAAGTACTAAACTTCGTACGCTTCTTGAAAATGTTAGAGCCAAATTTGAAAAGACTTCGCAGTACTTTCATCTTATTTGTTTTGGCGGTATCTCAATTTCTAAACTAACTTACAACTAAAAATATTGATGTGCCTCTTAGGTGATTAAAACTATATTAAAACAACCTTTACAAAAAACTTAAAACAGCTACAACATAAAATATAAATAAATAAAAACAATTTTCCGGAAATTATCGTAGTAAGGGAATTGATACTTAATATTTTGAAAATTTTTAATTGGTACTGAAAAAATTATGCAGAAGATACAAAGGGAACAATGAAAACATCGAAGAATAGCAAACAATTGTATGTCTACGATTGACAATGACCAAGACAAACAACAGTTTATAAAAACACTATGAAATATCCCAGAAAAAACAAAAGACAAAAAGTATCGATTTAAGAGTATTGTATAATGCTTAGGACTGGTCACACAGTTTTTCTTACGATCGCTTTTTCCAACTATCATTTTGGTTTTGGTAACATCGAAATGATACTTTGTTTGAACATCCAAAGAAACCCCTTGCAATAAAGTAAGTTTGTTCTGTAAAACAAATCGCAAACAAATAATTAAAAAAGGATATTTTTTCAAATAGCGTTTTCATGTAATGGTTATCTTTAAACAATTTGAATTGATCTCAATGTTGTGTTAAAATAAACGAATTAAACACCGATAAGACACCAACCTGTTTCCATAACAAAAATCTGTAAAGCATTTCCATATTCATTGTCTACTTTGACATAACAGTTTTCTATCCGCCGACTGTCCATCGATATTGTTAGATTTGTTACATATCCAAAGTATGGAACAAATGTACCATAAATTGAAACCAGTACTGTTGCACTTGTAGTAACATTGACAAACTGTTTGTTGTTGCTAACCATCATGTCGTTAACAAACCACTTTGGTTTACTCGGCTCAGTTATAGAATAGTACTTTACAGACACAGTCATGTTCTGGCCCGTCGACACCATATCATCAATGAATATAGGTGGTCCTGTCAATTAAAAAAGGATAAAAATATCAAATCG